AGAAATTCCACATAGAAGAAGCTGTCACAAAACTTAGTCCTTCAGAGGACAAGAGCTGTCAAGAATTCAAATTGGCAAGAATCTCTTCAAAGGACAATATTAAGACAGAGGTAAAATTGCAGACTGATCTATTTGGTGATAAAGAACAAACAATAATTTCAGTATCAGAGATTCCATTCCAACAAGTTTACACTGAAAGACAGATACACCAAAACCAGTCTAAAACTGAGAAGAACATGTCAGGCATGTTGTCACATCTCAGTAGTGACCTAGATGAATATGTCAAAGAAAGACCTATGAAAATGCAAAGCCAATCTGAAGAGGATCTAGTCCATGAGAGCTTCAAAGAAACTGTACTTGCAAGTGCTACATTAGAGGACAGGAGAGGTGCAGAGGGAAATGTGCAGACTGATAAAAAACAAGTGGAAGAACAAACACCAAGTCCAATTTCAGAAACCTCATTCAAACAAGTTTACATCAAGAGACCACAACTGCCAGTGGCTGAGAAGAACATGTCAGGTATGCTGTCACATCTCAGTAGTGACCTTGGATTATATCTTAAAGAGAGACAAGTCACAAAACAAAGCTACTCAGAGGAGGATCTAGTTCAAGAAAGCTGCAAAGAAATGGTAGTTGCGAGAGATGATTTAGAGGAAAAGTTGGATGCAAAGGGAAACCTGCAGATTGGTCAAAGACAAACTGAAGAACAAACACCAAGTCCAGTTTCAGAGACTCCATTTGAACAAGTTTACATTAAGAGACCACAACATCCAGTGACAGAGAAGAACATGCCAAGTATGTTGTCACATATCAGTAGTGATCTTGGGTTATATCTTAAAGAGATACCAGTCACAAAACAAAGCCACTCAGAGGAGGATCTTGTCTATGAGAGCCGTACAGAAGTCAAACTGGCCAACAGTGTGGTAGAAGACCCAAAACAAAGTATGCAGACTGATGAAGTAAAAGTCACAGAACAAGAAACAAGCTCAGTTTTAGAGAATTCATTCCAACAAGTTTATATTCAGAGACAGGCAGTTCGACCACCATCTACAACTGAGAATAATATGTCAGGAATGTTATCACATCTCAGTAGTGACCTTGAGAAATATCTCAAAGAAAGACCAGAAATTATACAAAGCCATTCAGAGGTGGAATTAGTCCATGAGAGCTGCAAAGAAATGAAACTGTCAAGTGACAGGTCTGGAGATGAAATGGGAGCAGAGGCAAACCTGCACACTCACAATATACAACAAGAAGAAAAAACATCTAGCTCAATTTCAGAGACCCCATTTCAGGAAGTTGGCATCGAGAGACAGGTAGAGCCACAGCAGTCAGTGATAGAGAAGAACCTGACTGGCATGCTGTCACATCTCAGTAGTGACCTTGAGGAATATAGCCAAGGAAAACCAGTTGAAAAGCAAAGTCATCCAGGTGTGGGTCAAGTTTTTGAAAGCTATCAAGAAATTAAACTGGAAAGTAACTCTTCAGAGACTGAGGAGGGGGAAGAGGTCAACTTTCAAACTGTTGCAGTAGGAGTTATAGAACAAATGCCAACTTCAGTATCAGAAACTCCATTCCGGGAAATTTTCATTGATGGACAGGCACTCAAACAACCATTTACAACTAAGAAAAACATGTCAGGCATGTTGTCACATCTCAGTAGTGATCTAGATAAATATCTCCAAAAAAGACCAGTCACAAAACAAATCCATTCAGAAGAGGATCTAGCCTGTGAGACCTGCAAAGAAACAAGATTGACAAAATATATTCATACAACTGAGGCAAAAGAAAACAGAGACCTAAGATACTCTGATGAAAATGAGCGAAACTTATTTGAGGTGAGAGTGCCAAGCACCTCACCAAAATCAGCAAAACATTTTACTGAATCTACTGAATGGACTATGGACATTGCAAAGTCATTTTCAACAATGGACTATGATAAAACTGATCATGGAGATGCCATTGTAGATGCTTCACATTCACTTCTCAAAATACATGATTTGTCACAACTTTCAAGTGCATATAGTGCAACACAACGTCCAGCTAATTTAGAGAACCTTGACATTGAACGGTATGATGATTCAGATAAAGAATCATGTCATCGTGATTCATTGGAAACAAGTCCTGTTATTGATGATAGATCTTCAAATAAATCCCCAGATTCCATCGAACCAAGTCCTACCAAGGAATCTCCATGTCAAGACTCCCTTGAAGGGAGTCCCACTGAATTAAAGGAGTCAGAGCTTCAGATGCCATTTAGAACAGCTGTGTATGAAGATTATGCTTCCCAGCTCAAAGCATGTTTTGATTATGACAAAAAAAATTACACAGATGAATATGAAGAGAAAAAGCAAGTAACTAACAGCGAGATCACTCAAATGGGCATGTATTCCCCCCACTCCACAGACAGAGTTACTGACAATGTGTGCTCAAATGTGAGTCAGCACACACTCATCAGGCAAGATTCTGTTGACAATATTGATGATGAAAATGATGCCATCAATAAACAATTTACGCCAGAGGAGGAGATGTTTAAAATAGCTGTAAAAATAAAAACATTTGAAGAAATGGATCAGGAGTCCAAAATGCAGAGTGACAAACTTTTAGATGCCACTTCACTCTACGAGACAGGTGATTATAAGGGTGACAAGATAGATCTGCCATTTAGTCCACTTGAACGGCCTTCCACACAAGACGCACTACAGATCTGTTCCGAAAAGAAGGCAGCAGAAAGCACTCAAGAGCCTCAAAAGGAAACTGTTGGTGCATGCATTGAGGAGAAGACAGAAATTCAGTTTGAGTTTGGAACTTCTCAGTCTGAAAGTCCCATAAAGGAAGCTGATGAAGATGAAGATGTTTCTGTGCCCCTGTTAGCAGAAAAGCAAGCAGACCCAGATTTTCCTTCCTCTGTGACAGAGGAGCAATGTTCACAACGTAAGAAAACTGTTGAGTCACCACTGGCTAAAGGTTCTGTGTTTGTCAGCCAGCCACAAGCAGAAAAAGATGTGACAGACAATAAGAGTTACAATAATCTAGTCATCAAGTCACAGGCTGGGACTGAGGAACTAATGCATCTTGGTTCTGCAGAGGTCCAAAAAACAGCTGAAAAAACACAATCTCAGGCACCAGGTGATGAGAGAAGCCCTAATCCATTCCAGTTTCAAGAGGGGAAGCTGTTTGAAATGACCAGAGGTGGAGCCATTGACATGACAAGAAGAACTTTGGATGAAGAGGAAGGATATGAGTTTTTTCATATTGGAGAGCACCCAGTTGATGAAGTCATCCCAGAAGCAATTGAAGAAGCCAGAGCAAACTCTTTAATGTTACAGAACAGTGATCACACCTCAGATTCAACCAGTCAAGGAGCCCCTAAGTCACAGCTAACTCAAGATAACAGTGTTGTAATTATTAACCCCAAATGTGGACTTCTTGAAACCTCTTTCAACAGGTCAGATCATGAGAAACTACTTATAAAAGATCTCTGTGGCCTTACAGACATCTGCAGCACTTCTCCCAGTTCTTTAAAGAGTCTCATCCACGTTCAAACTGAATCTGAAAGTCTTGACAGCCTCAGGCTAGACTATCTGAATTCCACAATAGCTGATCTTCAGTCAGACACGTCAGCAGCTGGCCATTTGATGTGCTCAGAAAAGAACAGTTTTTCAAACTCCTCCTCTTCAGATGATGATGAGTTTGAGGAAGATGAAGACCAGTGCTCAGTCATAGAAATGATCTTGCCAGCAGCAAAGGCTGATAATCTAGCATATAATCAGGATTCACCCACAACCCTGGCAATCAAACCAGACTCCAGAATTACAAACCAAAGATCAGGGAAAGATTCACAGATATTAGAACCTGCTCAGGTCTGTAGAAAAACAGAAAAAATCTCAACCTTCAATCGTAGAAGTATATCTGAGGCTAGCAAAGCAAGTAAGCCAATTAATAAAGAAGCTAGGAGTTACTCTGAGAGTAGCCAACCCTCTAACATGTCTAACATCCCACCCTACAAAATTATAGCCACAGTGCAAGAGAAACTGTCAGTTGATATGATTCCTTCATGCTCTTCCCTAAAAACAGACATCCAACTCTCTGACACTGTAGAAACATCTGTTAGATCTTCTTTGGAGACTGATGATATGAGCAGCGCAAGTCACATGAGTCCAGATTCGGTTATCTTTACATATGACATCCCAGCCTCACATAGTTCTGATTCTGATGGCAGTCAGTTGCCTGCTGTGCACCCATCTTGCGGAACAGAGGACGTGTTTGTATCCAGGCCTGCTTGGGATGACATAGTGGAAACCCAGATGCAGAGAATCGTTGAAGATCAGACTCCAGAATGTACACCAGGTATGGCTGGACCTACAATGGCTTTTTGCACTCTCGTCTTTCTTTAGCAAAAAATAAATAAATTTTCCCCTTTCAAAGAACAGTCTTACCATTACTCATTTTTGTTGTGTTGATGTTTGATATTGCTTTGTCTCATCTTGTACTTTTTTGTATATATAATGTCCATATGTTTGCATGAGGGTTAATGGGTTTAAAATTTTAGTAAATTACTGTTTTGTGTAAGTTTGTGTCGATAATCTCAATATTGAATAGCCATTTTACTTAAAGAAATGGAAAACTTTGGTACTGACTGCCTGAATTACAACTATCAAATAATCCATCTTTACTAATATTATCAATTAATTGCATATTAACCAGCACAATAACAATATTACTTACACTAATGATTAAAAAGCATGTTGTGTGTGTTGTGAACACAGTACCTAAGCAAATCAGGTCCACTCAAATCCAGCCTTTGTTATCATCCATAGGCATCACATATCCTCTCTTAGTTTACAGCCTATAGCATAGAGTCTTCAATACCATTCAAATTTAAGTATGCCTTACATAAAATTAATCTGCAATTAAAAATAAGTGGTACATAATGAACAGGCAAAGATGAAGTTAAATTTTATCTTGGTTCGGTTTATTATGATGGTGTTTTTTTGTAGCTGACTGGCAGGATGATGCTGACAGAAAAGAGGAGACATTAGCAATCATTGCTGATCTTCTTGGCTTCAGCTGGACTGGTACGCTGTCACATGATTTACTTTTTTTATTTTGCATGTAACTTAGGTAAAAGCAACATATACTGCACTTGTTTAGGTCCACTTGTTAAAGAGCAAAACTATCTAAAATGTTTTATCTTCATTCTAACAACAAACACACTACATAGTGTTTTGTTTCATTAAGCCTTGCTTTATTTATCACTCTAGAACTGGCTCGAGAACTGGAGTTTGGTGAAGATGATATTCAACAAGTGAGAACAGAAAATCCTAATTCTCTACAAGAACAGAGCCATGCTCTGCTACAACGCTGGGTCGAAAGGGAAGGCAAACATGCCACAGGTAATTTCACACCTTATGCTTGCAAAGGACTTTGGGCTACATCTGCAGTCGCTGTGTTTTGATTTCTTCACAAATCAGAAAAATCTTCTTGATGTGTTCACAATGAAAGCCATGTTTGCTAATTAAAGTGTTCTTTTTCATTTGATATATGCAGTCTGTTTTCCACTGCCTTCTCTGTAATGTTTTGGGATCATAATTGATCAAATACTTTGAACAATTTTATAATTTCCTCAGTTGATTTTTTTCTAGAGCACCCTCCTTTTTAAAAACACCATCACACTTATGAGCAAGATCATGTATTATACAGTTTTGGACACTGCAGTTTTATTTGAAAAGCTTTTTCAAGGTCTAATGTTTAGGATAAATTAATGTCTTGCAGCATAAATTACAAACCCCAGTATATATTGTAAAATGCTACTAATATAGCAGGTATTTACTTTCTGGAATGTTATACAAACATTGGAGTTTTACACATAGAATGGCTGTAAAAAGAAACAGTGTGACTGAAAATAAATTATTATTCTTAGGTTAAAAAAAACAATAATATATATATTATACATACTATGTTTTTCAGCGTATAAGACGCCCCGGAGTATAAGTTGCATGAGTCCAAAAAAAAAAAAACATTATGAAATGGAAAAAAACATATAAGTCACTTTGGCATATAAGTTGCATTTATTATGCATCACCACTGACCCGTCACGTTTATTATGCGTTTATTTAATGGTCAAAACAGCTTTATTTCACCTGGGCAAGGCAGCACCATCCATCCAGTCATCCATCTACCATGACTGGAGCCATGAGCTCTCCAGCGTTTCTCCGCCTGCACCAGCTGAGTGAAGCGAGCAGGCATGGGAGGAGTCACTGTTACAGTTCTTCAAAATTTAAAGCATCAGTCAAAAATTGTGTTATGTATATAGAAAAAGGTATATAAGTCGCTTCGGCATATAAGTTGCAGGACTGACAAATCTATGCAAAAAAGCTGCGGCTTATACGCCGGAAAATACAGTATAACTATTTTAAATGTATGCACATAAGGAAAATAGGTAATTGTATTACACATTTATTATTATTAGATTGCTCATGATGCTTCTCAAATAAACAAATAAAATTATATTATTGCATATATAGCCTCAAATTGTTAAACAATTTTAATGAATACAGCCAATGGAATAATATATTTAGTCTGAAATATGTGTTGTGTTTAACTGAAGTTATTTTGACTTCCACAGAGGACTGTCTGATTAAGAGGCTAACCAAGATAAACCGCATGGATATAGTCCATCTTATTGAAACTCAGATGAACAAGTCCATTCAAGAACAAACATCTCGGACGTATGCAGAGATAGAAAAGACGCTGGATCACAGCGAAGGTATTAAAAACTTTTTGTCTGTTCTGTCTAACACCAGGCTTTCTCCTTGTGCTCTAATTTACTGTCTGTTTTTCAGTCTCAGTAGCCCTTTCTTCAGTGCAGGAGGATACAGACAGCCCAAGAAATGTGAAGAGGGTTGAGTCTGACCGCAGACCACCTCCAGCTGTTTCTGAAGAAGACCTCTCAGTTGCTTCCCTACTGGATATTCCTTCATGGGCAGAGCCTGCAGGACAAATCCACTCAGAGAGCATGCATGGAGACCTGTTGGAGGAGCTTGAGATCCCACAGTAAATGACTTGTTTAACTTTATTCTTGACTCTGCTGCATAGCTCAGCAGTGTAATAATAGCTGAAAACTACATACAGAGTAACATTGAATGTCTGTAAACTTCATGATGTCTGTCAATATCCAAAGTTTTTATACCAAATACAGATACAGGATGCAGCCTTGTGATAAACAGTAATATAATATATTATAATGTAATTAATATAATATAATATAATATGATATAATATGATATGGGCAGCACGGTGGCGCAACTGGTAGAGCTGCTGCCTCTCAGCGAGCAGGTCCTTGGTTCACACCCCGGTCCAGGGGCCTTTCTGGGTGGAGTTTGCATGTTCTCTCCATGCATGCGTGGGTTTTCTCCGGGTGCTCCGGTTTCCTCCCACAGACCAAAAACATGCATGTTAGGCTGATTGGTAACTCTAAATTGTCCCTAGGTGTGAGTGAGAGAGTGAATGGTTGTTTGTCTCGTTTGTCTCTATGTGGCCCTGTGATGGACTTGCGACCTGTCCAGGGTGTCCCCCGCCCCTCGCACAGTGATTGCTGGACATGGGCACCAGCGACCCCCGTGACCCAAAATGGAATAAGCGGGTAAAGAAAATGGATGGATGGATGGATAATATGTAATATATAATATAATACTGTATAATATAATATTTGAGTTCAACATATTGTGCATGATCTCTCAATGTCACTCAACATCACTCAGTATTATTTTCAATGTTACAAAAAGGCTCAAAATGTTCTTTTTCAATGTTAGATGATCTTAGTCTAAAACTCTGGCATGAAAAGAAATAGGAAATATGCATGCATTCAAGGAATGCTGGGCCTTTAATTTGTTTTTTTTTTAGTTTTCCATTTATTGAACTTGTACATAAATTGTAAAATCTGACTGCATAGTAAGAGTAAAAGCATCATGCACATAAACTTGAAACCAAATGTCATAGAACAGATGGACAGACTTTTTAATAATCCCATCCTGGGAGACCTATTTAAACTAGGGTAATTTGTTGCAAGATGCTACTCTATCTGTTACTTTTTCATACCACTTACATTTACAGTCTTTTCTGGCCATTGACCCAACTTTACTGAAATGTACTGCTGCCATAAAATTCAAAATTATCTATTTTCAACAAATGTTTAAATAATTTCAGTTAGTTTCAATATCTGAAATATTTTTTATGTTCTATTTTGAATAAAATGTGGGTTTGTGGGTTTTGGAAATTTTTTCATTCTGTTTTAACATATAGTTTACACAACTTCCCAAATTTTTCAAAACTGGGATGTTATATCAGAAAAACAAAGAGGTGTTATTTGGTGGTCAGTGTTTCCAAAATATTGGCCCCTTCAAACTGCTGCTCATTTCTTGATGTGTTTGCTCTGTTGATTTACTAGAGACTCTGCATTGAATGGATTTTTTTTACTTTGTTGTGTTTTTTTCTGTAGTGAACTGAACCCCAACTTGTGGACCTCTGAAGATGTACAAACACAAGAACCTGCAAACCACAACATCTCAGATGAGCAAGTAAGTACTCTATTCAGTACAAACGAAGCAGCATTGGGGATCCAAGCAGCTCAGGTGAAACAGCAGCAAATTCCCAGCAGTGCTGATGGCCAAGTGTGCATCAAGTTCCCTCAAGGTGGCCCTCCAGTCAAAGATGACTGCAGCCAAACCTTAGAATTGAAGCTGTATGGTTCTGAAGATCAAGGCCAGTCACCTGAAGCTCTGATGTTAGACTCATTCATATTTATTAGAGACTTCACCCAGAGCTTGTCTGAGTCAGATAAAGCTGAAACTGACTTCAGTGAACTTTGTGATGAGTTCATCAGTACAGGTCTTCAACCAGCCAAAACCATGATAAGATGCTTCTACGATCCAACTTTATCAGCTATGGCACCAGATGATCATCAGCCAACTCTGGTCGTAACTAAAGATGACACAGATGTAATTAACAAAAGCTGGCACTCTCAGAGGGGTCCTCGTGAGGTCTCAGCCCAGTTCTGCAAATATCCTTGTGATCAGGACAAAACTGAACATGTTTCAGATGTGGATGTGGGATTCACACCTTTGAAGCCAAGCAAAGAAGAAAAAATAAAAACCCACGTGCTAGAGTGGTATCTGAAAGATATGCCCTTCATTGACAACAATGATGAGTCACTGTTAAGTGACTCCACTATTGGTGCAGCTAAATGCAGCATGAGGAAACCAGATGATATTACTATTTTACAGCATGGTGTTACAGACAGGGCCTTTTCTCATTTGGGTTGTGACTCAGCTGATAGGTACTCTAATTGGTGTCTAAATCCAGACAGCAACAATGTTCTAACTGAGGCAAGGACATCTTACCTCTCTGAACCAAAGATTGCCCCTTCAGGCTTTTCCACCCAACTCATACCACAAGAAAGCCTTCAAATTGTTGAAACGTCACCTTCCACTTTTCTAGATTATTGCCCTTTGACCCCTGATTCTTTGCTGCCTGAGGAGCAGTATGGCTCATTTTCACCATTTAGTGAGAAGCACCTCTTCCCTGCAGAAACATGGACAACACACAGTTATACACCTAGACTGGCATCTCCTGAATCTGTCATGTCACTTAGTGATTATAGGGCAATGTCACCAGACTCTCCAATAGGTGAAAAATGGGTTCTACCAACAGAATTTTTAAATGTACTGGAAGACAGTCATGCATGTTCTTCATTGTCTTACAACTATAGTTCACCTGTAGTTGCATCAGATTACACTGATAATAAATCCCACACCTATCTGTCATATGCACATTCGCAACAGATTGGTGCAAAAGATTTTACCAAACCTATAATTCAAACTCCCTATTGGTCAGAGTCCTTTGAGTCATGGGATCTGTATAATTCAATGTCGCCTGACTATCAACAACCAGAGCTTCATGAAACTGTACCTGAAGTTGCAAACATTGACAGAAAAAGCAAAGCTTTCTCACCTGTGAGATTAGAAACTGACGATTTTTCTCCTGAAAGAGGAAACTTCTCACCTAACTTGATGACAGTTTCTCATGAATCAGCGAGGGATTCCCGACCATTCTCACCTGAATCTCAATCCTCTCAGTGCAGCTTTTCATTTCTTGACCTCCTTTACTCAGAACCATCTCGCTCCCAACTAAGGAGTCAGTGCTGTGATTATTTTTTACTCTATTCTGGAGATGATCTAACATCACCAGTAAAAATGTCTGATGATCATATTGTGGTTTCAAATGACCACGTGTATTCAAAGGGCCCTTTAACTAAAGAATTTAGTGATTCTGATTATGGTTCTACTTCACTTGGATTTGGAACAACGAGAGGCTGTTTTCCACCAGAATTTTCAGCTTCAAATTATCAGGTCAATGAATGTGTTCCAAAAATGGCTCAGACTCCATTTCTTGAATGTGTTCAAGAAATGGAGTTTGAACCAAACTTCATGAATGCTTCCACTGTATCTGCTAATAAATGGGCAATTGAAAAATGCATGGATATGACAAATTCAAAGGTGTCTGCTGGACAAAGAATTGAAGCAAAACCCCCAGATTCAGTTGCAAAAACTTTTAAACGGTCAGACATAAAACATAGTGAAGATTCAACCTGTGGCAATAATGAAGAAAAACACGAAATATTTAGAACAGGAGAAATTTCAATTCCCAAACCAAAAATGAAAATTACTGACAATTACATGAGCTATTGGTATTCAAAACTTGGACCAAAATCTTCTGGAAATGTTTCACTGGAACAGCAAGATAACAATTCAGCTAGTAAAACTCAAGCAGGATTAAAAGAAAAAACTACTCAATTGCATTGGAATGAAGACACATCTCAAACAAGCTTGTACATAGGTAATAAGCAACAAAACATTTCTAAAGAAACATCACATATTTTAAAACAAGTACCTAAAGCAATGGTTTTCAAGTTGCGTGAACGACCAAAATACATTTTGAAATTTTCAAACGATGTTACTTTATTGTCAGAAAGTGACTTAATAACACAAAATAGCACAAAAGTTGAATTGGCAGGTACAAGAAAAATGAACCAGATGTTTAACATAAAAGCAGAATACCCATCTAATATTCCATTAGTGACTGAGTTTAAAAACTCAGGTAATTCTGTAACTTCGTCAACAATACCGAGTACAACAAGAATGCTTACATATGCTGATGTGGTGCGAGGTATGACTCGTGAAAAGCCAACTGAGCCTTTGTCGAGCTTGAGCTCAATTGCGGTGCAAGAACCATTGACTTCTTTGCAATTGGAAAAAATAAGTAGTTCTACCTTGATGGAAGACTGGCTATATGATGTAAGATCTTTATCTCCTGAGACATTGGATTCTGAAGGAGACCTTAGGCCCTTGTCTCCTGACTCACCTGTTCCTC